ATTCCTGCTCCCCTCTCCTCTTCCTTGGGAAAGAGGAAAAGTTGGCTGGTGTTGTCCTTTCAAGCCTTACTGGGGTGCCATGTGGGGTGTCAGTCTGCTTTGGGAGCTGGCCACAGGCTTGGGAACACAAGCTGACTGCCACAGGCCTAATCTTTGGAAGGAAGATCAAATGGGCAGATTTATTTATTGTTTTGCTAGCCCCCAAGCTTACTTCTGCACTTACTAAATGATGCCTGCAAAGATATTTAATCGGGGGGCACCTGAGTGTGGGGATTTGATTTGGTCCCAGGTGTGGTCACCCAGGATCAAAGGCAGAACCTCAGCAGCTTTCAGAAATACTCTGTGCTTTCATAGACTGCTTATTATTAGGTTAATAATCCCTTTCTTGATTTCAGTACTGGTTCCCCACCCTGCATCAGGCCAGCATGACCTCCCTGGGAAACACTTGTAGCTTTGGGTCAGAAAAAAACAAGACTGATAAAACTTTCCCTGTGACCTTCAAAGCAAAGAGGAAACACAGCAGAGAGCTGTGCCAGTGGCTGGTTGAGGGAGCTGGCTCTGGAGAGGGGAAAAGAAAATTGTTGCATTTGGTCTTCCCTGCTGGGGTAAAACCAAGAGGTTTTGTGGTTTCTTTACGCTGTACATAGGGCAATCTGGAAGCTGTTTCAGGTATGCTCTGGGAAAATGACTATTTTATTCATGCCCTGCTTAGTCTGCTGGAAGATTGCTACACCTTTGGGAAGGACAGAGCCTAAAAACTGTGGGTTTTGTCCTTCTCTGAAAGGGCTCCAGCATCCAAGGCAAAGCCAATGCCCTCGACATGAGTCTAGGGAGCAGCCACTCAAGCCCCATAGGAATCATTTTGATAAAGGTGATTTTTGGCGTGACAAGATTTACCTCGGATGGATGGGGGCCGGAGGATGCTCCTGTTGCTGAGCCCCTTGGTGGTGGGGAAGTGGAGGCTGGGGATGGCAGCGTAGGCTTGAGGTGCGTAGAAAATCGGGGCGCCCAGGTAGGCAGTGGCAGGGTCGTACATGTGTCCCAAGGTGTAGGTGTATTCTCCTTGCAGCATGGTACCTCTGCCGCCTGTGCCCCGGGTGTATCTGACGTAGCTGTCTTTGTCAACAGGTTTAGCTAACGTCACTTCAATCGGGGACCCATCCAGCACCTTCACGACAGGGTGGTGGGAAGAGAGCATGGGAGAAGTACAAGTGTAAGTCTCCAAAGTGCATGGGGATTATCCTGCCTAGGGAGACCGTTTCCCCACATAGTTTGCTAATGGGACAGGAAGATGGAGAACACTCCCAAAAAAGCCAAAATCTCCCTCCCACAGGTGGAAGAAGGCACTGTCTGAGTGAAGGCTTAATGTGTTAGACCACCCTAACCCCAGTGGGGAGAGGCTGCTTAACCAAATTAGCACAGTTGTGAAGACTTCAGAAGGCTTCGCTTCCCCACAAAGTGGTGTGTAAGTCAGAGATAATATGTGCCCTAGGGAGAATAGCAGCAGCACTAAAAATAGGAGCGGGGTTAACACCTCTTTGGGAACAGCACTTGCATTACAGCACTGTGAATGACATGCAGCACAAGAAGTACTAAATACAGCAACCTCCTTGCAAATCCGCATCTGAATTTGGAGCAGATGTTTGGGGTTGACCTTGTTTGTCCTGGTTTGCCATTCACAAGCTGCCCTATGAGTGTTTCTGTTGGCAGACGTGGAACAAGGATGTGAGAGTGAGCCAAGGGAACTATAACCCCTCGTTTGCTAGTCCTCATTTCAGCTTTGTTCTGCCTTTATTTTCCTGAGGGGTGAGCTGCAGTCTGAGATGGACAAATATTTAGCATGAATGCAAGGAACAAGAAGCCAAAATGAACAGTTTGGGTACATTAGGGTTGCTGAAAGAATAATTCAGGAGTATAAAAGCAGCCTGTGAAGAGAAAACAGGGCTAATACCTTCAATAAGCCCCACAAATTAGCATTTACAGTAGCTTTACCTTCCCATTCAAGGCTTTCATAGCTTCAACTGCATCTTCTCTTTTATTAAAGTGCACAAAGGCATAGTCTCTAATTTTCTTTACTCTTTCTACTGCACCTGCAGAAAATTATGAAATATTAGTTGGAAATGGGTATTGGAAAATACAGATCTGAAAGAACAACTATGTTGTGTTATGAGCCCTTGGAGAGCAAAGGTTGACCAAGGGTAAAAGAGCACAAAGACAGCGTCTTCTCACCTCTTTGGATGTATGTACCATGAGAAAAGAAATATAAGGTTGTAGTATTTCAAGGAAAACTAGAAACGCTTGAGTCAGACACCAGTAAGTTTCCCATTACACTGGAGTAGTTTTCTCCTGTCCAAAATGCTCTGCTGGAGGCTACCTTTGGTCATGTGTCTCCCTTCTGTTACAGATCACTAAGACTTGGAAGGCTGAGCAGGACATGCAACAACCCAGGATTTGGTGAGCTACAGGTAACACCACCATGTGGTCACCATCTCCATGGTTTCAGACCTGCATCATACATGCTACTCAGAGACAGCTTCAGGAAAGCTGATGCTTCTGCTGTGAAACAAGGAGGCTTTTTTCTTAACCATCAACTCAGGGCATTCAGCAAGAACAAACACCAAGTCCTGTCTGGGACAGAGCAGCCCCAAGCACAGGGATGGGCTAGGACCAACAGGGTAGCATGTCTGTCCCTAAGAAACAGCCTTTCCCATATGAGCTGCGCATCCTTGGGATGAGGCTCCAGGTGGTGGGGGACCCTCATCCCCATGGATGCCTGATTTGCCTGAACATGGTCCCAATCAAGCCTGCTGCAGCTGTGGCGTTGGCCCTGCTGGGAGTGGGGTCAGGTTGGAAACTTCCACCCTGGTGCCTCCAGCCTGAATCTTTCCACACCTTTGTAATTACCCACAAAAATTCAAATGCAAATGACTTCTTCTCTTCTATGTCCATGCTCTACAGCTTTCCCTTGTCAGCTGCTCTGCTACTGGGAACTTCTTGGCACAAAGATACACAGCACTAAGAAGTTTTTCTCCAAACTAACCACATTGGTCCTATTCCCCATGGCCACAAGCTTTAGACATCTACCTTATCTTTCCTGATTGTTCATCTTCCCCACTCCAGTAGGTTGGGAAGCACATCATCAGCCAGCCCAGCCACTGAGACTGTAACACCCCCAAAGATATCCTTTGGAAATATGACTAAGGGATGTGGAATGACTCTTATGTTGGCTTCTTACCCTTTAAAGCTGACCAGGTGTGCAGGGAAATGTCCTACTGCTGCAAAAAGCACTTACTTAAATAACTGCAGGAGAAAATACACTTCTTTGGAGTTCAGGGGGAATCATTAGGAGCTCCAGCAGGCTAAATGAAGCCTGTCCTAGCCTATAACCTGAGCAGCCTGCATGTCTTTAAAATGACACTGCAATGGTAAGTAGCACTTTGTGTTCTTCTGGGATCAGAGGGTGATTTTTTAAGCCTGAAGTTATGGGAGTTATATGCTGATGCCTTGTTTACAAGTCAAGGCTTTAATGAACTTTCTGTGTTTGGAAAATCCCCTTTCTGCCTCCTTGAGAGCTCTCTGTGTTACTGATCCTCATTCAAGCCCAAAATCTTGCTGTTCCTTGCTCTGCTGGAGCAGAGCAATGTGATACCCACCCTCATGTCATCTCCACAGAGAGATGGTCCATGTGATGTTACAGAGGGAATACTGTCCCCTCCAGTACATTTGCAGAGCATGACCTTCCTGCTGGAAACTTTGCCAGGGGTGAGGATTTTTGCTAAAATCTGTAGGTAGCAAAGGTAGGACTTTTTCATTGAGACAAGTGCAACGTCACAGGCTTGGGGAGGAGAGGCTGGAGAGCTGCTCAGCAGAGAGGGATCTGGGGGTGTTGGTCAACAGCAGCTGAACATGAACCAGCAGAGTGCCCAGGTGACCAAAAAGACCAGTGGCATCCTGGCTTGTATC